GGCAAAAGTGTCAAAATTGGTGACAAGGACCTTAGCCAAGACAGGAATCACATCCTATGTGGATCATGAAAGTCCTATAGGCAGAATGTTAACAATTTATTGAGCTCTGTGGTTAAAACAGCCTCTTCCCTTAACTAACCCCTTCCTTTCGGTAAAGGAACTACTTTCTTCTTACTTCTCTTTGTAAAGGTCATGTATGTATATACTAGAGGGCAATCTTTACTTTTTCCCAACTTTTCTTTTGCAGAAAGAATACCTAGTTAACTTTTTGTTTACAGTCAACAAGAGTGACCAGTGTTTTATTAAAGATCCTTTCTTAGGAGATTTGGTTAATCTTCTAAATCAGAGTTTTCCCCTCAGGAATTAACCTTTCAAGTGCATAAAGAGCCTATTATCAGGGGTGAGTAGTAGAAGGAATGCTCTAATGTGTAAACATGGTTGTGTGACTCCTCACATAGAATCTGTACCCTGGACTCCTCTCTTTGTTTTACATCCCAATCCATTAACAAATACGTTGGCTTTTCTTTGAAAAATATGTCCAGCATCTTATTCCTTACCACCTCCTCTTTTCACCTGGTCCAAGCCATCCTTGTCTCTCACTGAGATTCTATCCTTGCTCCTCTTTAGTTCATTCTGCACATTGCAACCGTAGTGAATTTATTAAAAAGAAGTTAGATCAATTAAATCCTGTTTGAAACCTTCCAATGCAGTGGTTCTCAAACTTCTGGCCCTTTAAATACAGTTCCTCATGTTGTGACCCTACCATAAAATTATTTTTGTTGCTACTTCATAACTGTAATGTTTCTACTGTTATGAATCGTAATGAAAATATCTGATATGCAGGATGATCTTAGGCGACCCCTGTGAAAGGGTCGTTCGACCACCAAATGGGTCGCGACCCAAAGGTTGAGAATCGCTGCTCCAATGGCTTTTTAAAAAATATGTATTTTTATTGATTTCAGAGAGGAAGGGAAAGGAAGAGAGAGATAGAAACATCAATGATGAGAGAGAATAATTATTTGGCTGCCTCCTGCATGCCCCCTACCCCCACCCCTGGGATATAGCCTGAATCCTAGGCATGTGCCCTGACAGGAAATCAAACCTTGA